AAAAATTCTACTATTAAGAAGTTACAGTCCATATGACCTTGTCAGCCAATCAGAAGATCTTAAAAGAAATTTATTTCTTGGTCTTTTTCATTAGTATTCATATGGCAAATTCAGAGTTTATCTTAGTTGATATTTTATAGATTTTTCAACAGATTCACAGAATATAAAATAAAACAAATGCCTATAACATAATCAGTTTGGCATTAATGCCAACAAAATTGACATTAAAGTCATTGTAAAATAATAATATAGCTTCATTCTGTTTAGCATGATCAATTTAATAATTGTCTTAACAGAATTCAGAACATAGTAGAAATGTGGCAGAATATTTGTCATTTAAAAGCTATTGAATTAAACAAAGGCAAAGAAAATTACTTAGTTTAGAACAAGAATGTACATATGGACAAGATGTAGAAACAATTTATAGACAGGTAGATTATGAACAGCATGGACTAATAATTACTAATGGTCCTATAATTATGGGTACTTTAAAAAAAGATCAATTTTAACATTTGTTTGTTTAATGGCATTCAAAATACATTTAATGAATAAATAATAATCATAACTATGAAGTTAGAAATAATACTATTAAAAAAGAATCCATTTGTCCTGCCATGAAAAAAATGAATTGTAAATATGATACTAATGTCACTACGAGATAAAATGAATTCCAGCATTAAGAACAGTACAATAATGTTTTGGGGGTCTTGCCTTTCTCTTGTTGCTGGAATCCAATTCACTATTTAAAATGTCTGAACCTCTATTTTGGAAACTGTGGGAAGAATGTGTAATTCCTTTTTAGTGTTCAGAATTTAGGAACATTACCCCAAACTTCAATAATTGTAATTTAAATCAGATAGATCCCAGATAATTTGGGTAGTCTTTAAGGGAAACAATCTCTTGATGTTACAAAAGCATTTCAACATTTGACACTGTGTATATTTAAATGTATCACTCACACATTGGGGGGAAAAAATAAGGAAAGATAGGTAGGAATTTTGTTCCAAGATTATATACTCTTTGAAGATTTTGTCATCTCTGTTCCTGATGTTAGTCTAATAATTGCACTTTGAAGGCATTTAACAGAGTTGAATGTGTTCTACTTATAGTAACAACCAGCATTGATTTGCTGTCAGAGAACATAATGAATGCCAAGGTTATTGTTACATTGTTGCTAAAGTACATCTTCCTTTGAATTGCTTTCTTTCCAGGTTGTTCCTTTTATTTTATGTTAGTCTATTTCCTATTCTGGATCTGAGATTATTTTAAATTGGCACAGAGTTCATAGATGTAGATCTAGTGGTATAAAATCTTCTGCTGCCTATGAAAGATACCAAAATACTTATTATCCTGATATTTACAATAGTTGCTGTAGTGATATCAGAATTACTTCAAATTCTACTGAAATCCCCCTCCTCCTTAGCCTTGACATGGCTATGGATCTTTTGTGCTCTGAGGAAGATGAGAGTTATACCAGAGGTTCAGTCACACTAAACAGATCTTATCAAAGGAACCAGGTGAAGTGCCTCTTCCATAGATTGCCACTCAGGAGGGTATGTTCTGGATCGCATCAGTTAAAGACTTTCCACTGATGGGATCCAGGAAGATTGTATTCTTTGTTGTTTCTTCCACCCATTGGGACATCTTACCTCCAGATTGAGTCAGCTCCCCCCACCCTTTTCTGGTCTTCTGAAAATGGTTGTAAGTGTGAGTATGTGTGGCAACCATTGCATATAAAGCAGTGTGTGTAAATACTCCCCCTACAAAGACTTGATGCAGAATAGTACAGAATTGAAAACAGGGTCCCAGCCCTCATTCGTCTACAGGTTGTCCCTTGACTTAACTACCACAGCTAGGACTGGAACTTCTATTGCTAAGCAATGTAGTCATTAAGTGAGGTATGCCTGATTTTTTTTAAACCACCTTTTTGCCACAATTGTTAAACACATCACACAGTCATTAAGTGAATCCAGGCTTCCCCTGTTCACTTTGCTTGTCAGAAGCCCCCTTGGAAGATTATAAATGGTGATCAGGATGCTGCAGCCATCGTAAATACATTCTGGTTCTCAAATGCCCAAATTTTGATGATGTGACCATGGGGAAGCTGCCACAGTTGTAATGTGAGGACTGGTCATGTCACTTTTTTTCACCACTGTTGTAACGTTGAACAATTGTTAATGCATGGTCATAATTTTAGGACTACCTGTACATGCTTTACAGTGAACTCTTTCTCTGTTGACCCTTAAATTTGATTAATTCTTAGTCAGTTTTAATAGTCAATAATTACATTCTTAGCTACAATATATTCTTAACTGCTGACATGAGATTCATTGTTTCATTATTGTTCTTGTTGCTTATGATTATATGGGGTTAACATGAAGTGGGATGAGAATCATGGCCAATGATGAGCCACTCGTGGTACTTTCTCTTAGAGTGTGAGAGCCAGTTGAACCAGTAGTAGCACTATATTCCTTCATTCTAGCTATATAGGACTCTGACTTGGCTGGAAACCAATATATAGCTAAAATATATTTGAAAGCTCTTTAATCCTTTAACTATATGTATATCAGTCTCTTTTTACTTTTCTGAGATAGTCCTAAGATTCTAGTCTTTTGGGAGCTGAACTTAAGTATATCATTAACAAATTAAACTATCCCCATACTCTCTTCTTTTTGTCGTTCATTGGGACCCAGCTGTCTGGACATTCCTTTTCATTTCTCTTCCCAGAGAATATAACGAAATTATTAGCGTATGTCCCATGCAAAGAATATTCAAATGATTTTAGAAAGTTTTAGAAAGTAATACCAAGCAACTATTTTAGGTGTCAGATTTAAAGCTAATGAAAAGCCATGCATGAAACAAGTACATAAATCAGCCCAATAAAACAGCTTTGTAAATATTTATGTTCTCTGCACACTCCATTTCATGCTTGCTTCCTTTTCCTTCACCTCTTGAGTTTCCTGTTTTTAGATTATGCCTATGACCGGCTTTAGTTATCTACCTGACATTGCTTAATTAGTTACTACTTCCTCTGGTATCATTTACATTAATCCTAAATCTTTACAGACTCTTAAGTACCTTAAAAGTTAGATGCAATTTTTAAACAAGTCTCAGTAGGAGGAATCCACGTGATCAATTTCCTGCAGGAGAGAATGGCCGGACAGCCTGGCAAAAGGCCAGTCAACACTGTTGGTGAAAGGGCTCAGGAGGCCATCTTCTTGACTTTTCTGACATCAGTTGCTGTTTCTTCAAGTGGCTTTATGCTCAGTGGCCCAGATTGTCAGTAATTCTTTGTTTCTTTGAGGCATGGGAAAGGTGGTATTCAGCCAGTTCTGACAGGTTCTGGCAAACCGGTAGCGGAAATTTTGAGTAGTTTGGAGAACCGGCAAATACCACCTCTAGGGGGCTAGCCCGCCCCCCATCTATTTGCTGCCTCCTGAGTCCCAGCTGATCAGCTGGGTCTTCTGTTGCCCTGCACAGGAGAACCGACCTGGAAAGTTAGTGGGGTGAGGTGGAAATGGAGATTTTACAGTATCTTTGTCCCAGGAGTAAGGAGGGGATTTTGCACTAGCCTTCCGCTGCCATGCCCACCAAGCCACACCATGCCCACCAAGCCACACCCACAGAACCAGTAGTAAAAAAAAATGAATCCCATCACTGGGCATGGGAATAGTAGTATTTATGAAGACAGGGTATTTGAATGAGGGTTTGGTAGAATCTAAACAAGGAGAAGACCATTTGGGGAAAGATGACATTAGGCTTGTTTTTTAAATTATTTGTATGCATATTTCTCACCTATGAAAAAATTGGCAAGCCATGTTTGGCTTTGCCTGCTTGTTCAGAATAATTTAATTGCCTAAAACATCTGTTTCTGACAGAAAGCAATGGTTAAAAAGACACATTGGACATGACTATTGTTATTTGTAGGAATAGTCATCATGTTTCCAACAGTGTTCAGGAATCCTAATAGCACCACTGTTTTTTATTGTGTCCCTACTACGTACAGAAGGCTAAAAATGTATTGCTTTCTGGAATCCAGTTGTCAAATTCATATTTGAGGAAAGAAGAGAGACTTTATAGCCCACATCCATCTCTTCTGTTACAAAGGTTTTTTGGGCCTCATGGTTTCCACTTGGAGTGGACAAGCTGTGATTAATTATTTCCTTTCCGTGTTTCTCTGTATGCACGCAATGTATGTATGCAATCTGTTTTGAAGAGACAAAATCAGTGCCTTCACCTTAAGAATGAAGAGTTCTTTCTTTTAATTTCCACCATACCACCCCCAAATTGGCTAAACATTTCAGCCCCATCCATTCCATGGATATCATCCATTGCAGCCAAATTCTCTACACTTTTCAGCCAGGGAATCCAATCATTAATTGATTTTAAGAAAAGTGCATCTTTCACCACAAACATTATTCCCCTCCTTGACCAAAAGCATCATTCTTGGTGCATATCACCCTGTTAAGGCCATTGCCATAATTCCCAGAAATTGTGGCTGGAAGATGCCAGGTAGGAAAGTCTGGCTTCCATAGGTCAAATAAATTTTCCCTTTGTCACTTACATATGCATATTTTATGAGTCACATGTTAGGAAGTATAAGTCCCAAATAACTCACAAGATTAAAGCTCAGGCTGCTTCTGGGATTATGAAGGCTCAGGCCCTACATTAAAAAATTCATAGTGAAAATCACATTGCCCCCTTGGTAGTAAGACTGAATGCCTCTTTGTTGGCTATTGCATTGTCTCAGGAAGATGGGGAATCCTACCCTTGTCACTTTCTAACAGGATAACATAAGAACTGTTCGAAGACTAAAAATAATACTTCGTTAACAACCCTTCAGTCTTTCACACTCCTCAACACTGGCTAATTTCCCCCTAATACCTCATTAAAATTCACAGTAACTTTGTAGTCCTACTCTAATGGCTCTCCACTGAGGCAGGAACGGTGAAGGTAAGAACTGACAAATGGATGTAATTTTCTTCCTGCCCTTCTTTCAGGTTTTATTATCCCGGCTTCCATCCTTTGAGGGCTATCCAGATGATGAGAGTGGCCAAGTTGCAGTTCCACCAGGACATGTTCTCTCAGGCCCTTGAAACCCTGAAACAGGTCAGTTTTGCTCACTGGTTCTACATTCTCTTTCCTCCTAATTGTTTCTCCTTGACTGCATTTCTACAACCTCCCTGCTCACCTCACTTTCCACATGTCAGTCAACAAGCATTCTCTTTTTTTATATCTACACCAGCCCCGGAGGCAATGGTTACAAAGTGAGTTGCTTACAGTTTCCAGGAGAGACTTACTTTAATAGCGGTGGTTGGTAATTACTGTTCAGTATCTGAGGGGGTGTCATTAATCACCCCAAACCTTGAATGACAAATAGCTATTAAGTTGGATGAACAAGAGACTGTTTCAGTACCTTAATCTGCTTCTCCTTTTTAAATATTGATCATGTTCTGCATCTCACTGAACAGGGAAGGCAAGGTAAATAGTAGTGGAAATGCTTCCTTTGATCATGAACTAGTAAGAGTTCTGAAACTCACCTGAAATATTTGGGATGAAATGCTGATGAAAAAAATAAAGAAGACAATCAAAACCTGGGTTCATTAAGTCGTGAGCGCCTTTAATTCAGAGTTGACCACTGCAAAGAATGTGTATTAATAAAAGATCTGATCGGAGGAAATTTCTTCATATGAATTATTTGTAAGCTAGTTCAGAATAGCAATGCATTCTACATACATAATCTGCTCATCATTATTGAAAGGGAATACATTAGTAACTAACTTGTTTCTGAAAGCAGTGCATGTTTTCCAGTCATGATTACTTTGTTAACAATTTATTCAGCTAAATAGCATTCTGAAACCAAATCTGTCAAAGTACGTAAACAAAATAACTTCCTGTGGAAAAATAAATTACTATAGGTAATAAAATCTATTAGCTTGCTTAAACTTTAAAAAAAACATTTGAGGAGAGAAAGAAATAAAATTTTAGTTATGTGGCATAAAACATGTTGGTTGCACATGAATGGTGTCCTATATATATAAGTTCATTGATGCCGACCTGAACTGTCTCAGCTGGCTGCTCCTTATTTGCAGTTTCTTCTAAATTTGTGATAGATTTATAAAATGTACAAGACCTTCTGGAAATGTCACTGTATATATAAAATATATTTGCTCGAGTTACATAGCTTTGTGACAGCTGCCTTATGTAATTCCCCAATTGATTCTTTGTAAAGTTTCACATATTGTAGTTTAAGTTCCAGTTTCCTGTTTAAGGATGTAAAAAAAAGTTTCTAAAATTAAACTAAACCATTACCATATAATGCTTTATCTGAGATTGAACACCGATTGTTATCAGATTCTTTTTATGCTTCTTTCTTATTTGTTAGGCTTTTGACCTTTCTCTCACTGAGCTTAAGATGGTTTGTTTTCTGCCTCATTACAAATAATCATTTAAGAATTAGCAGCATTAAGCCATACACTTCATACATATACACACACACACAAACACACATATATGTATGTGTGCGCGCACGCACATGTGCATGCACACACAGATGTACAAATATAAATAAAAGGATTTTTTGAAGTAATTGCCAAAGTAATTTAGGTGTTAAGATGCTAGACTACTAATTGCAAGATTGAAATTCCAATGCTACCTGGGCATGGATGTCCATTTGATTGGCATCTATGGTGGCATAACTTTTACTGGACCGGCATGTCAGATTACAGTCCATAATCTTCAGTGAAGATGCCTTCATGCTTCAGCAAAGTGATTCAGGATAATAGTAGTAATAATACTACTGATACTACTGCTACTAATAATAATGATAGTCTTGAAAGCTGATTTTGAGGTGTAAATATCTGTGATAAAGTGTTATAATTAAAAATAAAGTTTTTGGTTAATTTCATGTTATTTCATAACTGTTATTTCTTTCACATTTAATTGATTTTGACATCTAGTAGCTTCATTTGATAGAATTGTTGAATTCTAACTCTGACATGGTGATCATTTCACTGTCCCCCTGGAAGGCATCCGTCCATGTCAATGTTTTGCCTGTGATTAGAGAAATAGATTCCTAGCACAACTTCTGAAGATTAAAGTACTTTTTATCTTGGGTTTATCCTCATAAGTCCTACACTGAACTGTAACCTCCAAAGACTCTCTACAGTTAAAGATATTTTAATTATAATTTTTCAAACTTCAAAAGATTGGTTTGGTGATCCAAAATAGACAAAGGGCAGATTTTATGTTTCGATATAAAAACCCTCCGCAAAGTCTACAGAAAAATTGTGAATTTTATATCATACAATATGCCAAGACTATTATAAATGATTAGAAATCTGTAAGAATGCAGTAAGTCCTCTGCTGAGACATTGAGCTCTTACCCCAAAGCATGTATATTCCACCTATATTAGTCCCCTGCTATAAAGGGACATAATCTAGATGTATCTGCCCCAGAATGACAGGCATCCCTTTCCAAATAGATTCTATTTGAACTGGTTCCTTCCAGCTTGCCCTATACATTATGTACTGTATGTGTGATGCAAATAACACAAATGTAGCCTTCCTTGGCATCTCTAAGAAGCCTTCAAATAATTGAGGGTTAAAGTAGAAACCGAAACAATTTCCTCAATATCCTGGCCTTTGCTTTGGAGCCCATTAGCAGGATGGACTTTGCTTTCTTCTTTCATCATGACTGAGCAGAAGAGAGGCATATTTGCATACCACGACATGTGTCTCTGATGTTAGGTATCCTGTTCAATCCAAATGCAAATTAGACATAAACGAATGTGCTGGGCTTTTACTTGCACTTCCTTATCAATTACCTAATGAGGTTTACATTCTTGGAGAGAGAAGCAGTGTGGTTTTTCATACTATGCTGAGTATCCTACTTGTTTGGGTAGCTCATAGTTAAGTCCTTTCATTATTTGGCACTCTTTGTTCTATAGATCTCAATTCTAACAGAAACCTTTTTCAGATCATGGAGGAAACACACAGCAGGACAAATTCCATAATGCTCCTCTTATATTATTGAGCTGAATTACCTTGAAAGGTACACATATATTTAACCTAAACATATCCCAAAACAAATTTATAGAGGCCAAGCAAACCATAACAGTAAATTCCATAGCAATTTGGATAAACTGGCAGAAAAGAGCTTGCATTGTTATGGACTATATGGCAAGCTGAAGTGACAATGGCTAGCGAAGTTGCAAATTGTTTTTTAGAAATAAAATATTCCAGATGGAGACATTTAGAGGCATACCATCAAGGATAACAGAATGCTTTTCTTCTGTATTTCTTCTGCATTTCAGACTTACGATCTTATGAAAGTAACCCATGGGATAGAGCACAGCTTCATGCAGGACCTGATGATACTTACAGAAGAGTGGGAGGCTAGCATGCTATTAAAATAAAGATAAAGATGATGCGCAACCTAGCAGGACAACAAAAAAGAGACTCCGAAGAAAACAAGTATCTTCCTCAGCCAAACATATGGCAGTAAAATCGTCATATATATTGAGTAGATTTCCTTTGATGTGAACACTGCAAAGAAAAATAGTCTGATTGTTTTGTTATGTAAGCTGCCCATTATTACTTTTGCTAATTCTACAAATGAAAATTTTCAACAGTCAGTAATTCCAGCAGGAACTGCTTCCTGCTGAGAAGTGGGTTGAAAAGACACCAGGAAAATTCCAAGCTACAATTTGGTTGTAATTGAAAGTATAGGGAATGCTAATTCATGTAAGTGCATTATTAGATGGGTATAAATTAAGAATCATACATCCAAATACATCATACATCCAAATTACAAATATTTAAATTTTAGTTTCATCAGTCTCCTTTTGCCTTATCCTAAATTTCTCCCTCTTTTTTGAAGTGTTGTCATTTCCAGGTATGCAATGATTTGCTTTGTTTATTTTAGATGTATTTTTATCCCCCTTTTATTGATTTTTATGAATAATTCAAGATGATAAACATAGCTAATATTTCCTTCTCCTGTTTTCCCACCACAACAACCCTGTTAGGTGGTTGAGAGAGAATAACTGGAGTCTGGACCAAAGTTACCGAGCTGGTATTCATGCCTAAGGCATGACTAAAACTCAGTTTCCTTGCATTTCATAATCCTTGCATATTAGTTGCATAGCATGCTTATTGTTCGATTATTAATCATGGAAACTACAGATCCAACCTAGATGCAAACTTCTAACAGTGTAATTTGTTAGTGATTCTGAGTGATTCTGCCCTGAGTGATGTATCAGCATCAGAGAAGGAGGAGAGAGGGAGGAAGGAAGGAAGACAGATAGAGCAACAGAATCAATTTATTCCCAAATTATTTGTATTTTTCCCATCTAGTAATACTGCGGTAAGCCCACAGATACAAAAGTTCTCTGAATGTCTATCAACCAGCAACAATTGCAGTTCTCTGTATGTCTCTTACTGAAGACGTTTCATTAAATGGTTTTTATTTGTGAATAAATATGCCTATAATTGTGTAGTTAATTTGTCTTTCCAACACTAAGTGCTCAGTCTTGCATTCTTGTCCAATTTGGTCCATCTTGTCCAACAAATTTTATATTCATTTATTTTGGAAAAAATGGGCTAGTTCTTACCAGATGGAAGAAAATACCCAGAATGATTCCCATTCTGATCAATGCTCTTTCTAGATATGACTTGAAGCAAATCTCCAGGAGAGCAGAGATTCTCATAACAGAGTTTCTTGTATTGAACAATCCTGTGACTGAACTTGACATTGTACATGACTAGAAACTGAATCTTGGATTCAGAATAATGTGCAACACATCCTGGAAACTACAGTGTAAAATGAATGTTCTGAAGGCAGATCATTGCTTGTTTTCAACAAGAACATTGCTCTGTACTTTCTTCTCCTCCCTCTCCCTTTCTTCCCCCCATCCATTTTCTCACTTAAAATGCACACTTCAAATCTGCCAGACAAAATCTGCTCACTTAAGTTTCAGTCCTCTGAAAAGAAAGCTGTAGCTCATTAGTCAAAGACATGCTTTGCATGTGGGAGGTCCTAGGTTCAATTTCCTGGCATTTCCAGGAGCATCAGGAAAAATTCTTGCCAGAAACCCTGTAGAGATTGTTAGCATTGATGTTGCTGAGCAAGATGGCTCAAGATTCTCACTCAAGTATCAGGCTGTTCGAAAGTTCCCAACAATCAACTCTTGGAAGGATTACAACTTTATGACAAGAATGAAATTATGGGGGCCTTAATTTTTAATTCTTAAATGTTATATCCATTCAAACAGTAACTTGAAAACATTTATGACAATTCAGTGAAAATACATTTCAGGGGAAATGAGAACTCTGGACATAATTCAGAATGGCAACTCACAAATGCCAATGCAGGAGTTTAATCTTTTTTGAACTTTTGAGTGAGTTACAGCAAAGGAAGTTTCATGCACTTTCCTGGCCCAACATATGCATGGCTCTTCTAGCTGAGGAACAGAGAGTGATCTAAGACTGGGTTATGTCAGCCACCCTATCATAAGCATATTTCTTTTTAGCACAATAAACATTATTGGGAGAAAAACCCAAATTGAGTTGTGTATGACTGCACTTGACAGGCAGATTGCATGCACATTTAGTCCTCACCTTACAACTATTTGTTTAGTGATGCAAGTTACAATGGCACAAAAAGGTGACTTACAACCAATCTATCATAGTGTTCACACAATCAAATGATCACAATTTGCGCATTGACTCCAGGTTGACTCAGTCTTCCATCCTTCCGAGGTCGGTAAAATGAAGGCCCAGATTTTTGGGGGAAATATGCTGACTCTGTAAACCACTTAGAGAGGACTGTAAAGCACTATGAAGTCGTATATAAGTCTAAGTGCTATTGCTATTTGCAACCAGCGTGTATTTACAATGATTGCAACAATTTTGTGATCATCATTTGTGACCTTCCCAGCTGGTTTCAACAAGCAAAGTCAATGGGGAAAGCCAGATTTGCTTAATGATTTATTTAATAACTGTAGTGAATCATGGTGAAAAGTCATAAATTCATACACGACTCACTTAACAACAACCTTTCTTAGCAATGGAAATTCTGGTCATAATTGTGTTATAAGTTGAATGCTACCTCTATGCAGTTAACATACATACTTTGGAGAGGTTCTGAGGGAAGTAAGAACATTTTGTGGAGATAAACTTCCTACCTCTACATATAGACACTGCAGTATTCTTGAATTCTTTAACTATGTAGACCACTCCAGGAAATGGACTCAAAAGAAAGGCTAAAATTAGTTTTATTGAGATTGGTTATATAACAACACAATCTTGCAAACCTGATCGTGCTATACCTCCTCCTCGTTATATTACAGTGAATTAGGAAGGCATCTGCCTGAACTATATCCAAGTGTTAACTCATTCTGGACTTTAAAAATGCTTTGGCCTCTTTGCCTTAGTAATATGTGATTCCCACATATCTCCATGAAGTTCATCTTACTTTCTACACTTCTGGAAATCAGCATGGGGAGAAGGGGACAGATTTGTTAGGGGATGTTGCCTTGCATTTGTGAAAATTGCATTTGTGAGCTCCCTCATGCACTTCAGAAGTTTCCTTGAAGATAACTGCTATTCCACAAAACATTAAAAGTCAGAAGGAATCTAGTAGCATCTTTTCAGACTAACCAATTTGATTAAAAGGCATAATCCTTTGTGAACCGTAGCTCATCAGATACACAGATAAATACGGTGATACAGGATTTTAAGGGAGGTGGGTTATTTTTAGTCTGAAAAAGTGTTATCATGATTCTCATTTTAATATACCTCTCTTCATACAATGTCTGAAATTAAATTAGACATCATCCCCTCCCATTGGTGCTGATTGAGTAACATGGGCTGAACTGAAGTTTAGCTTTCATAAACTGTCAGCTTGTTTCTTGGATGGAGGTCATCCAAGCTTCACACCTTTTGTATTACTTTCCATTGATTATGGGTTTTTTATGCTTTTCTCAGCAGCAGCAATGAATGGAAAGGGCATTTATTTTTATTTGAGAGTTATTTGTTGGACAGATTAATTTATGGACATTAAGTGGTGTAGAGCTGCAGAGTAGATGTGCTTTGTGTTTTTCTCCCATTAGGAGAGATAGGTGCAGGGTGAACAAAAAAAAGGGGGGGTTCATAATTCAGTGAGTTAAACAAATGAGGATGAATCAATTCAAGGAGAGGCAAAAGACTTTTTCCTATGTCAAGATCCAGATAGGTACAAAATATTGAAAGATTTTTAAAGTCGAAGTAAGTTGCAGTTAATCTATTTCAAAAACATTAAAAAGAATGAAGGATCAGCAATTCTTTACATGAATTTCATATGTGGAAAAAAGCTATTTATACCCAAAATACTCTCCTAGTTGATATGGGCCCTCAGGCTAGCCATAATTAATGTATTTGAAGTTCCAGTAGCTACAATATTTAGGAAGTTTATTTAAGGACGTTCTTAGTTTTTCAAATTACACCATTGAGAATTTCTTTGGTTTTTATCTATATCTCTCATCAATCTATATCTTCTATTTATAATCTGTCTGTCTGTCTGTCTATCTATCTATCTATCTATCTATCTATCTATCTATCTATCTATCTATCTATCTGTCAGCTGTCAGTTATCTATCTTTCTATACACACACCTGCATACTACATTTCTGCCTCCATCTTGGTTTGGCACTGATTTAGGCAACACTCTGTACTATTGTAATGATTGAAATTTATGTTTGTTTACCTTATGATGCATCACCCTCCAAGGGAACACAAGAATTAAAATTGTATTATTTGATTCCGGGAGAATGGATTTTAGGTTATTTGATAACAATTTGATGCCAGACTTTTTTGCTTGTTTGTGTTACAGGATTTTGGTATCTCCCTGATTATTAGATTGCTGGGCAATGCATAGTAAGCAAAAATAGAGAAAGAAATCACTCACAAATATATAAAACAGTACTTAATAATGAAAACAATAATGGCATAACTATAATTTGAATATAAGATCAGAAGGTTGTCAAATTACGTCTTGTTCACAGACTTCACTGAATCGTATGTCAATTCCAGGAACAAGTTTCTAGATCCTTTGGGTAAATGGTATACTTCATCATTTTAAACTGCCGTGCAACCAGGTAAAAGATTTGCCTGCACTTCACATAACTTTTTTCCTGATCACACAGAAGTTTTATAGACACACAATTTTTGTTATATTTCATCTGACAGTTTCTTTCATATTCACGTCAGGCTAATAGTGAAAACCAAGGGAGTCAAAAGTCAGAAAAATTGATTTGTTGCAAGATTGGAGAGTGGCAGCAAAGCTCTGATATGGCTTGTCAGCAATAACATCACCTTAAAAAGATTTTCTGGCTTGGTGTCAGCATTTCTTAGCAGACCAGACAGAAAACATAACCAGATGAGCTAATGCTATTTTATTGTAAGGCTACCTTAACAGAATTTTGCAAGTCTGAGCGTACAAATCACCTATCTCTTTTACAGAGTGTGAAGATAGGAAGGGCACCTTCTGAATCTCTTTCTCTGCCTGTAACACAGCTGCAGGCTATGCCATCTCTTATCTGGCCGTAGGTCTTTCTCTGTCTCCCAAGGTCTTTTCCATCTACCATTGCACTTGGTCATATAACGGTATTTCTCTTTTTGTTTCCTTTGTCCATATACTGCTTCCTGTTCATAGCCACACTAGAACTGTGGTCATATAGAAGAGCAGAACCTCCATGTTATCACTTGGCCAGGTCAGAGTGGAGATGTACAGCTAAATATCATCTGCCTACTGCTGATGCTGCACTCTGTGCCATTGGATATTCACTCATTAGTTTCCTGCAGAAATTGAGTAGGAATGGGGAAAATGTCAATCCCTGAAGCAGCCCACACAGTGGAAGCTGTCCAGAAGATTCAGTGGTAACAAAAGCTTCTGAATATCAAAAAAAGCAAGAATAAATGTGTTTTATGTATCCAAGCCTGCCAGGGGTCAACCACAACCATTTCAACCCCATACTGAAATCTGACTGGAAAGGGTCCAGATAATCTACTTCTTCCAAAGTTCTCTATGGACACCATGTGATCTGTTACTTAACAAACTTATCTAAAAAGTGATGGAAACAGCATAAATCTTGCCCAAACTGGTAGAATAAGATTATAGTTTCTGATGAATAAGCGGGCTAACATCTGAGTCTTATTAATACATTCAAAGACAACTAGTAGTGATGTGGTTTAACTCAAGTTACACTGCAATGGGTGCATGTCTAGAATACTTAAGGGGACCAGAC